TTTATTTAACTCAACATATCAAACACTGTTAGTTTCAACAATCAGTGTAAAAACTTAATATCTCATGTTCTTTTGCTAAGTCTTTGTAACCTCGTGCGCATTTGGTACACGCGCGGTACCTCAATTTAGTCTAGATGTCTTTCACATGCCCAATGTCCATCCATCGGTGACAGCTACCACACTAACCATGCCATGCTGAAGAGTTAGAGTGACAAACCCATGTCTTGATTTAGGGGCTGACTGTTTTCAGTTTTCCTATCTGTATGCTTTGCTTTAGGGGTAATGTGTTTCTGAGTATTCTTTTTGAATGCTTTATTGCATTTGACGTTCCAGTAACTTTATACATTTTGTGAAATATGTACTGTGAGTTGAAATTTCTTTTTGCCTGTTTAAACGAGTTATCCATGCTCAGGCCAATTCCACATGCTCCACTGAGCCTTTTCAGTTCCTCCAGCCCTTTCCATCTCTCTCTCCTCCAAAGTCGTACCACTTACCACACGCTGCACGTCACATAGTTTGTCCTCTGCATCACAAGAGTGTCGACCCATTGTTATGCTGTGTCTTATAAAACCATCTCCACCCTTCAGAAATACATAGTGAACTTGGTAGACTATAGGTAGAAAGACCAAGGGACCAATATGATATAAAGTGTGTTTTTCTTAAGTACATAGTGACGATATCAAGCAATATTCCCTCAAGTTTTCCTGGGACAGTAATTCAGCTATTCAGCCTCTTACCTCAAAGATGTCGTCATGATTAAACTTGGAATGAATATTTGAATAAGATTGACCCGATTTTTGTTAAAACAGGATTCCTCTGAGTCTTTACTATGCTAAAATATAATGGTATTCTCCAACAGCAGTGTGCAGCTTTAGTAGGCAGCCATTCTGTATCATTGTCGAAGAAGAAATCATTGTCCTTGGAACAACTTTATAGGAAGGCAGTTTTACAAAACCACAATTTGAACACTTAAAAGTCAGTGAAGGTTACAGGGATCAAAACCTGAGCACAAGGGTAAAACCAGGACTCACCAAATTCTCCAAGGAGAGGTGGGGAGGGGTGAAGATTGAGAGGTTTGAATGCCGACCCCAGGAAGGTTTAAAGGATCCTTTGGTGATATGATTGCTAGTTATTTTATCTCCATGTCCTCTGCATCCTCTGTGTTGTCTCATTTCTTTGTTTGTGCTATTCTCTGAGCTTGAAATATTCTTTCCCATGGTTCTCCCACAAAATGTTTCATAACTTATGGTCTAACTTAAATGCTGCCTCTTCTTTAATATATCTACCAGGTCTTCCATCCACATGTGAATTCTCCTTTCCTCTACCCTCTTCAACTGAATCTTTATGGTGGAAACTCCCACAAGCTACAAGATACACTTACTAGCATCTTGGTTTTCCCCACAAGACATTCTATATTCTTTTTCTTTCTACTTCTGATCATATTGTATGTAAAACTCAGTAGATACTAATTCTTCAAAGACATTCGTGGAATGGATAAGTAAATGAATATAAGACTTGTGCCTTGTCTCACGCAGATAAGATGGAAACTTCATCACACAGGAATTGATCTTATATTTTATGTAATTTTTTAAATATAGTGTTAGATGTATAGGAAAAGACGCCAAAATAGTACAGAGGGTTTTATGTAGCATTTCCAGTTTCTCCCATTATTGTCATCTTATTAGCATGGTACATCTATAAAAATGAATGTTTACTACTCACTTCTCCCCAGTTTCCCTAAGACCTTTTTCTGTTCCAGCCTTTCTTTCTAGGACATCACGGCACACTTCGTGGTCATATTTCCTTAGGATCCTCTAGAGTGCAATGGTTTCTCATTCATGTCCCATTTTTGATGATCTTGGCAGTATCCAGGAATAGTGGCCAGGACTTCGGTGCAGTTCATACTCAGGATCTATCTGGTATTTTTCATGATTATTCAGGTTTTATGGTTGTAGAGAGGAAATGAAAAGGCACTGTTGTATAATGTTCAATATATATATATGTGTCAGCACGACTTTTTAATATTGATGCTAACCTTAGCATCTGTCCTTTAACAAAACTTTCCACAATCATCACATCACTTTTTGCCAGTGTCACAGCTTACTAAACACAAATGCACAGTATTACCACCTGTGTCCACAGTACTATCTATTCTGTATCTTCTAATGAAGATAGGAGGCTTATGTTTGGTCTAAAACCACAATTTCTTTCTTCTAATTAAGCATCTTTTACAGAAAAATGCTAACGTCTCTCCTTGAAAGAGATTTCCCCTAAGTGAGCAAATAAAATTCAGTATACCTGAACAGAATAGTATAACATAGGGTTCTATTAATAGCAGCTATTTACAGTTTCCAGTCATTGCAAGAAAGCAGTCATATGATCACTTTAATGTCTTTCTGAGTAGCATAGTAAATTCTGCCTCCTACCAGAGAAGGGAGACATGAAAGTGCAGTAACACAACAGAATGGTCAACCTGATGTCCAGATGCCATTGGGATGACACCCTGATACCTCCCACAAGGTTAAATAGATTAATCTGCTATCCAACTGGATCCTTTGATAAACTGCTATGTATTTATTCTTTGTTAGTAATCTTTGTACTACATACTACTTTCATTCATCTTGGGGAATTGGTACATACATGCATTACATCTTGATCTTTTTTAAATCTTTCATGGGGGAGATGAGACAAGGTCTTACCATGTAGTGCAAACTGGCATTGAACTTCATACATAAGCTGGCCTTGAACTCAGAGCACATCCTGCCTCCTGCCTCAGCTTTCCTAGTGCTGGAATTACAGACTTGTACCACCAAGCCTGGCCATCTTGATCTTTTAAAATCTACCTCCAGGAGCC